CCTAAAGACTGGCAACATGCTGTGGCGACACCAAATCACAAGGGAGGAGACAAATGTAGTGTAAGCAATTATCTCTATACTGCCAATTGTCTCTAAGACTTTGGAAAGGTGGGTGCACTCCTCAGTATACTTTTACCTTGAAGAAAATAAGTTGTTAACTTGGTTACCGATTTTCATTGGAGCTTTTTTTCCCATAGGATTTTTTGTGCGGGGTTTTCGCCCACCCCGTGATCAGTGTTTAATTAATGCCTTGATTATTTAAATGTTCACATGTGTATGATGTTGTAGTGGTCGGTATTTGTAAATATTAATGTTTGTCGTATTTGTCCGTTTTACTTTCATCATGAGTTTCTAACTATTGTGTTAATTTATGATGGCAGGGCCCAAATGGAAACCAGTTTGAAACTGTTTGGGCATACCCTGAGTAAGGAAATGGAATAAATAAATAAACAAATAAATGCTGGCTTATTTGGTTATTTCAAAGATTTAATTTCACGTCATAACTACCTTCGCGTAATTGATATTCTCTGTTAAATTGTATTCAAGTCCAGGCAACTTTTCTTCCCTTCCTTTTGGCACTTAACCATAAATTATGCAATATCGGAGAGGCTAAAATAAAATGTAGACTTACCAAGGGTGACAGCAACAAGTGAGGTCAAAGCTAGAGGCCGCATTCTAGTGACTGTAGACTCATCGCCTTGCAGATGCAACTTACAACCTTTGCTGAATCCCCCTTCCTCAGATTACAGAAAATCCAGCGCGAAAAGAAACAGATGGATTTGAAACAGAGTGCCTTCGAAGCTCTGAGATCACTTACGATGTTGTGTGAAAGTAATACATACACAGCACGCAGGTTTACACGATCGGTGGCTTTCTTGATATTGATAACAGCTCCTTCGTATGCAAATTTCGACCACAGTACCAATGGGATCATTTTTGAGCGAATAGTCTGGCATAAAAGACCTTTCCACTAATAAATAAATAGTTATGGACACACGGGCACAAATGGCCTTGGGGCACAAAGTGTGAGCGGGCCATTGAAAATGTACACGGGTGCGATTTTGATAATTTTCTCTAAGGTTTTCAGGCTTTGCTCAGTTTTTTCCCTTCTTCAGAAAATCCCATTAAATCCTTTTTGCTATTAGTTTCTAATCTAAACCGAATTTTTAGTGCACAGGCTGCAAAAAGACTTCACAATCGTGAGTTTTCCTGTGCGCACGAGATTGCCGTATCTAAACCAGTCTCGCCTTTACGATTAAATCGGAGCAAGATTAAAGAGGTTTCCGTTGCTGCGGATGTGAAGGCATTGGATAGCAGCAAGGAGAAGAAGACGCCGAAGAGTGCTGGGTGGGTACACGGCCTTGTGTCCCTCTGTTCGTTATTGGGAAAGGGTTCGAGGATGAGCCATCATACTGGACAGTGCCCTCCATGTCTTCAGGAGCTTGGGGGGGGACATCCAATCCGTTGTGAAAAGACCCTTCCTGCTGACTAAGTCAAAGGCCTTTGTTAGGTTTACGAAGGCAATGTAAAGTGGGCGTCTCCGCTCCCGCTACTACTTTTCTTGCAGTTGTCGCAGTGAGCAAACGATGTCGATTGTTGATATGCCAACCCTGAATCTTCACTGCGCTTCTGGGTAGACGCGTTCGGCGAGTGCGTGCAATCTGTTCAGAATCACTTGGGCACCGTAAAGATGCATGTTCGCTTCAACAGGGCGAAGCTTTAGATCAAACGCCTCCGCACCATACAACGTTACCCATAGCCTGAACATCGCTAAGGGAAACTACTAATTAACACTATTTTCCTTCCCTCTTTTGTCTGCAAATGATATCCCCCTCCAACTTGGGGTCCATTTCAATCTGTTGTATTTTTTCTTTGATCTCTTCCCACCTTACATTCCTTTGTTGTTCAACCATGCCTTTCATGCAGTCCCCTTTACCCCTTGCCCCTTTATCCACCTGCAGCTTTCTTGACCTTTCCTTTTATCCTCTTGCATTCATCCATGCTTGGTTGATTCTCCGTTTGCTTGTTTGTTCTGTGCACTTTTGCCGTTGAGAAAGATTCTGCTAGGATCGAAACGTCAGGCCCTCCAAATTTTGTGATTTGTATTTTAGGTCACTCTAGTCAGCAAGCAGTTTGCAGCAGTTTTATATTTATATCGTGGTTAAACATGTTTTAAAAAGTGGGCACAAAAAGGTGTTTCTAAATTAGTTAGCAACTTTTTAGAGCGTAGGCATGACAGATTTGTACCTCGGAATACTGAGCATGCGCTGTCGCGAAAAATGTTATTTGACGAAATGAAAGAATGACAGAAACACATTTTTTCATTGCTTCATTTTTTACCAGCATAAAGCTTGTGCTCGGTCTTAACACTGGAACTAAAAGCTGTGTTTTACATCAATTACTTAGTTGCACAATTATGGTGCGCTATTCACAAGACATGCTCATTATCTAATACACTAATTGTCGATTTAACATTTTTTTAATAAATCCTAAAAAGTATCATTTGTGAAAAGTTATTGAATGTTTGATATGACATTTTATGTATGTCTAAATGTTCATGTTCACCTGTTTTATACATAATCCTTTTTCATTTTTCTTTCAGCATATTACCTCTTTTATATTCAGATTCATTAATGCCAAATATATGTAACGTTAAACATACGTTCAGTCAAAAATAAGCATATAATCGCCTTCTTAAAATGTATGATTTCTCAACTCACATTCAAGATCAAAATCTAATAGACTAGCTGGTGCCTATAATCTTCAGAATTGGTGCTCTTTGTTCGGTAATTGTATCCCGGCATTTACTATGCGTGAATGATGGTAACTTAACCGAATCAATTCACCAAAAAAGACCCCCTCCCCAATTTCCCAAAAATGGCGCTACGCACGAAAAGGCCCACCTGAAAAAGGAAAAACATGTATACATGTAAATGATGACAAGTAAAACTGAAGCAGTGTAATAAACGACAGAAAGTTACACCTCTGGTGTCTAAAAGCAGTTAAGCTTCAATTAACATGAGTAGTCAGCTCGAAGGCTATGAAAGATCAACATGATGCCGGTTTGTTTTGACACGTTATCCCTGTGTATGGTTTTCACTGGGGGTCTCCGATGAGTTTTATGACCAGCTACGACGCAGCTTCATTTCACTTTTTACTATTCGATGGCCTGCCCATCCATCCGATGTTATACCGCGATCATTTGGACCTTGTTGATATTCTCCATTAAGGCCGTACGGAGCACCAGAGGTACCATTGCATGTGTCAAGCCACCAGCCTCCCTTCAGCTCAGCTGCACAATTAGCATTGGTATCCTCATCATTGTCCATGTCGTATGTAGAGAAGCTTCGACCACTGAGATGTGGAGGGAGGGGATCTGATGCAGACATAAGAAAGAAATCATTTGACAATCAACTCCAACTGAAAATTGTAACTCTGAGAAAAACGAGTAAATTGAGAAAGAGTATGCCGCCATTGCATTGTTATAATGGAGCAATGTTGCCGGTGAGACTAGGGCTAACCGTGGGCTCAGATTTTCAGACTTAGTGTTGGGGTTCTGTGCTTAAACGAACTTAAAAGTATGTTGGTTCGGACTTAAAAACCTCTCAAGAATTTACTACATCCCAAAGTCCTCCATGTGGTAGATGAAGAACTTTTGTCTACATGGAAAATAATCTGATAATGACAAAGACGAAAGACGGGAAAGTCATCCGATGTTTCCATTTGTAACAAACTTTAGTCAGCATAAAATTGAAGAGAAAAATACAAGTAGGTGACAATATAAGCAATTGACTATTTGTAATTATTGGGTAAGTTTTTCTTTAAGCTGTAAAAGTGGGAGACAAATGACGCCATAAGGAATGATGAAGGGCTGCCTTTGGGCTAAGATTTCTGAGTTAAGGAGTTGGGTCTGGGTCATGTATCCTTTATTCAGTGTTCGCTTTATTTATCTCACAACTTTGGTAAAGCCAGCTGTATTGTAAAATTTTGAATCTGGAAGTCCAGATAGGAGAGGGAGATGGGAAATCAGAGGGAGGATCTACCTCTCCTTATGTGACTTTGCCTCCATCATTTTGCAAAATGCACGAACAAAACAAGACAAGTTTTTGTCAGTTATTGCCATACTGTATCTACCGGGCTATCTGTGGCATCACATACTTGACCGAACTGATTCATCAAAAGTCAGTTTGTAATCGTTGCCCTCTATGCGAAAATGCTCTGCGTGGAAGGTCTTGTGCTTTCCCGTATGATCCTTCAGATCTATCTGTAGTCTCCACCTCCAATCCGAAGTCAGTTGACGAAGTTTTTCGTTTCCAAGCCAGAACTCGCCCGTCAGATCGCCGAATCCGTCCTGGTACTCGGTCCAGTTGCGAGTGAAATTCACCGACCCGTTAAATCGCCTCTGAAACAACTGTAACAAAATAATTTAATTAACTTGTATTGAACAATCTGTAAGTACCAGGCATTCCAAAACCATAATCTATGACATCTCGACATAATGGTGCGCACAGTCAGTCTGCTGAACGACCCATACTGTGACTGGATTCAGTCGAGCTGTTCGTATTAACTGGCGACTTTTCTTCAACAACTTTTCAAACACAATAGAATCATTTTTAATGCTTGAGACACGGCGTAAACATCTGATGGAGGTAGAACTAACTAACCGCTTGATTAAATCAGTTCCATTCAGGATAATCCGCCACCTGGCCACTTGAAAATATCAAAGCGGTGTAACAAACTTACGGTCCAGCCGCCAAGTGTAGCATCCATATCACAGTAGACCTCTAGACCGTCAGGGTACTTCCTCGGGTAGATGGTGTACACACCACTCTGACGGATACCATGGTTGTACAAAGTGTAGCAATCTGAAAAATTAAAGAAATTCTCTGAAATTTGCATGCAAAACATAACACATCATTATTGATGGTCTTTGAAGGGTGCAATCTTGTGACGTCACGCCTCCAGTGGCGACGGTTTGGACAACTGCGCCCTCCTATACTTGGGGCCAGAGCTGTGTATAGAGAAACTGGCGCCGGCTTCAGATTTTAGAGCAAAATGGTTGATCCTTATGAGTGCAGTAGAGCGTGCGCCTATTGCACGGCACGTCCGTGTGCACTGCCGCATACACCTGTCAGTTTGTTTTCAACAATCGTCACACCCATGGCAAAATTCTCTCTATTCAAGGCTGCTCGGGGTGAGGTACGGACGCCCGCATGGGACTTTCCGGGCCATTTGAGGCGATCAACCCTTTGAATCAACCGTGAGCTCCTACAACTTCTCAAGCCCCTCAACGACGCATGCAGTACTCAGGCAAAGTCCGCTAAGCCAGAACTTTGATTTTTTTGGGGGGGGGTTTCTTGTGGTTTGGTTTAGTTTGCCAAGCTCGTAGCTCAGGTAAAACTTATAAACATATTTGCCTCGCAACCTCTCAAAAGAGAAATCTGAGCACCAACCGCACATGGTGAGGCACATGCAGAGTAAATAGTAACAAATGCCTTCTTTGCTGAGAAGAAATCTCATAAGAGCGGCGGGCTCCAATTACTTAAATTTACAAACTTCTGTTAGTTGATTGTTGTATTCTTTAACCTATTGTATTGAGAACTGATTAGATGTTTTATTAAAAGTAATAATCTGGTATCCTATTTACTTCAATTTAGCTATGCTATGTCGAGCTTCAGGATTTACCCTTTTATCTTGAAGCGACTCAGCTTCATTTCGCGACTCCGCGCTAACGCAAGGTTCCCCCGATCAGCCCATCTAATACTGCGGTAATCCCGTCGGTCGAATTCTCAGGAAGGAGATATTTGCCGTTCAGATTGCTCTAAGATTCCTGCGGAGACTCACACTGGTCAAACCACCAACCTCCTCTCGCCAGAGAGTGCGTTCCCCCCCCCCAAAAAAAAGGCTCGGCCGATGTTCTGCAGTTGTGCAAAAGTCAAAATTAATGAGGCGCTCTAATTATTGGCATTTTATCGGTAAAACGTGAATGGAAATAAGACCTGTAAGGTAACAAGCACGTTCTAATGAGATTTGGTTGTGTCAAAAAGATTCTGAGTCTTAATGACTTACCATAGGGGCGGAAGCGATGCAGCTTCATTTCAACACCAAGAACTACTGAAACGTTCCGTCCATCCACCCATCTAATACCACGGTATTCCAAGTCAGTGGAATTCGTGGAATTCTCAGGAAGGAAATATTCGCCGTTCAGATTGCTCCAAGAATCCTGCGGAGACTCACACTGGCCAAACCACCAACCTCCTCTCGTCAGAGCAGCACAGTTGAGATGGTCCTCGCCGTCGTTGTCTTTATCGTAGGTGGAGAATGGGCGTGGTGTCTGGCTTGATGGCAAGGGGGAATCACCTGTACAGTGCAAAAAAAAGTTAGGAAAATGCAAACATTGTTTTTGTGTTCGACAGAGATCAAAATGTCGCGGTTTTCAAACTCTAAACTCACTAAACCCTGAATACATGTAACTCAAAATGGGATACCTTGTATTGGGAAACACTCTTTTAAGACCTTTTCTATTTTTTTTCGTAAGATTCCAAGAGATTTATTTAGCCGACTTGATATTTGAGATTTTTGATGCTTCATAATACGAAAACAATGCAGTCAAGTATACTTAAAACAATAACAGCGCTTGGGAGAAGATGGGAGGGGGAACATGGTAAATGAAATTGCAGAGTCTGAACTACCACTGGATACTAGCTAGCCCTACTTGCCAGCGGCTACAATTTTTTCCTTTAGACGTCTGCGTCCTAGCCAACCGCAACCTTTAGAACAAGGCCAAAATGTCCGTCAGCCAAGTAGAGGACTCTGGTTGAGCGCCAAGTAGGGAGCAGCCTACTATAACCAGCTGAGATTGTGAAAACACGTTTAGAAGGCAGACATAATTTTGCTGTGGGTGACGTCATGCCTTCCCTTTCGTCTTGCTTAGGCTGTAATGCGACACATAATCTTTCGGCTCCGTAGACTTTTTCTTAATTGAAATTTCCAGCTCGACCGTTTATGGAGTTTGCTTCCATTCATAGCATCGTTTGCCCCGTCTTCCTCCCTGGACACAACTGTTTTCATCTTGATAAATTTCTTCTATTCTTTTGGATGATCTGAATAAGCATTCAGACTTCAAAAGTGGGATACAACTTTCAAAGGTAAATTATCTTATTCAAAATGAAAGTGGTTGCTCAGGGGACAAGTGAACGGCTTTGGTCAAGGTAATGTTCCCACCTTCCAAATACCAAAGAAAGACCATACCTGTAGATCCGTTAATAAACAGGGCGTAGTTGTCGCCCTCTACACGGAATAGCCATCGGTACGTCTTATGGATCTGATGGTCAAACGTCAGATCAATCTGTAGCAACCATTCGTTCACAGATGTTAACTGACGAAGTTTCTCGTTTCCCAGCCAGAACTCCCCCGTCAGATCGCCGAATCCGTCCCGGTACTCGGCCCAGTTGCGATTGAAATTTACAGACCCGTTAAACCGCCTCTGAAACACCTACAATGAAAACAACCGTGTTGGTGTTGAACCATTATGCTTGTGGGAAGCAACTTTCGTAACAAGCAATTTAAATCAATGTCCATCAAAAGTACATTCTAATGAGGGCAAGATTTAGGTTGTCTGGTTTGTTTCATTTGTAAAAATGTTTATTAACAATACCAAATTGGGCATACGTTTTTTTCGGGGGGGCGGCGGGAGATAGCATTCACTCAACCTTTGAAAATCAAAGGCGAGTCGTTTTAAGCGTGAAATTTCCGTTCGCTAAGGAGAAAGTTGCCATTACTGCTGTCAATTTATCAAAACAAACTTACATTCCAGCCTCCGTATTTAGCATCCATATCACAGTAGACCTCAAAGCTGTCAGAGTATTTCGACGCGTAGATGGTGTACACACCACTCGTGGTGATACCAATATTAAACAAGGAAAGGCAATCTGAAAAGAAAAGATGTCTGGAATGAACATTGTGCTGTGAATTAATGTAGAGGCCTATGGTCGGTTAAATATATAACAGACAAGAAATAATAACATAACTCATTTAGGGGAGTGTGGGGCAAGTGGGTCATCGGGGCAACTGGCCCACTCTTAGACAAATTAAATTAAAAGATTATAATACTGACCACGTGCGTTTAAACAACTATATTTATTTTTTTTCAGAGATTAAGCTGAACATAAATTGAGGCCGTAATGAAAAAGATAGATAAATGCCCAAACCAACCAGCTCCATACTTAGCTTAACATCCCAAAAACCAGAAATCACCTAACTGGAGGAAAGGTATAGGAATTTTCTACTTAATATTTTAAATTGTACTCTTTTGGTGGCAAATTTTAAGGTTTTAAGGATATGGTCCACTTGCCCCAGGTGTGGGGCCAGTGGTCCACTTTTGCATGAAATTTTAGGGAGTTAATATTCATAGCCTAAGTTTTATTAATGTAGTTGATTTCAGCTGTTTGCAAAAAGCAAACAAGTGTTTTGGTCATGTTTTAAGGTTAGTTTTACCCTTTTCCTGGATTATTGAATATGGTTAGAATCAAGAATGTGCTTAAGTGGTCCAATAGCCCCACTTTCCCTTATAGCTCTGAATTTAAAGCCTATTTTTAACATAAAAATAAAAGCAAATATTATCAATGGTCCTTAACCCTAAAAGATGCTTTTTATTATTTATAGTCGGGGAAATTCCGTCTGTAGCGATACCATTTCTCCAATGACTGCTTGCCTTGAAACATGACGTACTAATTATGGTATCCGTTTAACCCAACAGCATAGCATTATAAATATTGTGCGCGAGCGTATAGGTCTTACACGCTAAAGAGGTAGAAAAAAGTGTTAACTTTTCCACTGGCTAAGATCAGTGAGAAAGTTAACATTGTTATATACCTCTTTTGGAAAAATTGAGGTTTGAGCACTTTGTCTAGTTTACTATATCGGTTTAAAATGACTGTAAGAAAACTCATGAAGGCTCGGCAAGGGAAGGAAACGAGATGCGTTGCGAAGATATCTGAATCAAAACTTCGGAGGAGGTCTTCCCCATCAACAGTTAATTCATCATACATGTAATGCATAATGCTTATTTTTTATTACAAAAACAAGCATTAAATGCCATATGATGGTCCTTGTCTGACTTCTGCTTTCCGATACCCCACCTCTTCAGTTTCACACTATATTTTTCCTTAGTACGTGTATGCACGAGAGTTATGATTCTCGTGTCCTCGTGCCATGTAATTTCACTACAGGGAAAACCTAACTGCAAGTTAAGTGTGTTATAGTCGGTATGACAGTCTCGTGAGATAGAAGCTAAGAGGCGTGACCATTAATGATAATCGTTATTTAAATTACCACTAATGGGTCATTAGGGATACATTCCCATAAGAAGGTGCACAAAATTTTCCAACTTTACTGTCCCATAATTCAATATTCCCTAATCTGATTTGAACAAAACTTTTTATGTTTTCATTTTAGACCCTAATCTATCAAGTCTCAAAATTTTGGAGAAAAAAAATTCGGCCTCCTTCTGGTAGTTGGGGAGACACTGAAATGTCTCCCTAGAAGCCAATGTCTAGCTATATAATGGGACAAAAAAGGACTACGGAAGCTTTACTTCAGCATCATATTATTCAATTACCCAATGATTTGTCCTCGCAACTTGTACCGTAGAAACCAGGTTCACATTGACACTGGAAAGAGCCGCCAGATGGACTGCATGTTCCTCCGTTTTGACAAGGGTTAGGACTGCAAGGATCTTGACACAATCAGACAGGAAGTTAATTCTTAGTTTAAATTCAAATTACTTCTCAGTTTTGAATGAAATAAACTGACTGAGACTACGAGCCAACAGTCACACAAATCTGGAAGGTCAGAACACGTAACAGCACACCGTAAATGCGTCTTGATACAGATCAACGAGAGAGTGATAAATGATTGCAGGCCATAGTGAGACTATCGGCCGGTTCATACAAAAGCGAAAGGGAAGTGAATTTGGCGTGAGGACCAATGTGTACATTTCGCCGGAGTGGATTTTTTTCAGTTTACTCTTATTTAGACAAATTATTTGAAATTTAAAAAAATCCAAGCAATCAATCTCTGTTTTTGCCTAATTAAAAACTCTTTCTGCAGACTACAAAATTATAAATTGTAGAAAGCCAAACGAAGAAAACAACGGAGTATATCAGTGGAGAGCTGTAATGCATGACATTTTGTTTTATAGGGAAAACTAGCTGCGTACGCGTCTGTAGGTCAGTTTCTTTCACCACGGTTGGAGTTTTATCTGATGAGTTCAAATAATTGAAATAAGAATACCAATACATGCCAATTTTATTGTTAGCGGTGTAGTCATCTGAAATGATGTTGATGAAAGGAGGGTGGAAAGTGAAATAAAAATTTCAGAACCTGAAAAACAGTTAAAGGTGACAATTTCATAGTTTATGAAATAAGCATGGTTGGGGATATAATATTGCTTAGCACATGAGTTTACCTGGACTAAAAAAAGTTAGCAACTACAATAGTAATGATATGTCAAGTGTATTGCTTATGATAGTTGAGCATTGGTTTCTGCTTTGCAACACGAAAGCTAGAATCTTACCACGGAACGTTTTACAACTTCCACTGCTGAAATATATTCACAACGGAAACAGTTTTGACAAGGGTTAGCACTGCTGGCATCTTGACACAAAATGAAATAAATACTTGATGTTGGAAACAGACAGACGAAGACCTGACCAAATTACTCTGCACCCCAGGAACAGTTTTGCTAGCAATGATAGCCCTGTCGGCAAATTATTTCACCCTGCATGTCCAACACTACCCACCGTCAGATGATGCCCTCTGTTGTCTTGCTCTATGGTCAAGGCGACCGATACATTACAAGAAAACACAAGTCATGGCAGGCCCACGTTGCTGTACTGCGCGTCAGCGTCCGATAGCAACGCGACAAAACTGTCGGCAATTTCTTTCTATTAACCGCAACACAGCATACACAGACTGAATGTTTATCGTGCACAAAATGATTATTTCTATATGTATCTCCCTCCTTATACATCTTAACCTGTAACACATAAGCTGTAATTACAAGTGACGCCAAACATGTTCTCCCAACATTGGGCGTATCAAGAAAATTCAAACAAAGTTCAGTGGAATTCTTCGACAAACTTTAGCGAAAAGCAAAACGTGCAAACAAGAACATGGCACAACGCCCTCTAGGGTTCATAAGAAATCCCCGCTCTGACGTCACCTTCATTAGAATAAGTGATGGACGTCCGCTGCACTCACCACCCTGAAAGGTTATTTGGGTAGGGGAGTCCCCTATAGCCTCAGGGGACAAAAATATATGTAGCAAAACATGCACAAAAAGTATGGCCCTTGAAATCCAGTACCAAGAAATGGGCTTCGATAGGTCGGTAAAGGGTGCTGGCTGTGTATTTTATGTCAGTGCTATTATATTGAGATTTGTTTTCTCAGACCTGGGGATTGGCAAGGGAGTAGAAAATAGTGTTGAATAGAAGCCCATAAACGGTGGGGTGGGCGGAGCTTGGAAACGTCCATGTCTGAAGAATCTTGTGCTTTTATTCTTATTGTTAGAATTGTAATTGTTATTATCTATTTTGTATAATAAAAATAGTCTAGAAATTAACTGTAATCATTCTGAAACTATAGCGATAAAGGCTACATTGAAAGCTACCTACCTCAATTTGAAACAATTAATTAAAGATCTGTATTTAACCTACACGCAAGCGCATTGGTGTAACACGAAATTGACGGTGAGACTAAGGGTTTTAATTAAAATATTGATAAGCCTAAATAGTGTTTAGCCAATGAACATAGGATACAAAATGTTCAACTTTTAATCGTGCTCACAAAGTGATACGCCTAGTATAAAACTGACTAAATACAAAACACAAGAACAGACTCTTTCGTCTATCAATACTCCACCCTTCAATCACATATTGACAGAATATCTAGTACAAACGATATGAAATCGACTATAGGCCTACGTATACACAAACCGTGGCAGTCAAAGTAGTGATAAATCTTGGTCGCTGGTAAAGATTGGAGTATCAGCGTAGAACGGTTCCTGTGACCGGAAATTAAATGTCTTGATGCTTGTGACAGTAGCATCTTATTATGTACTCGGCCTCGACGGATATAATTATGCACATTATTATAATTATACCCATGTTCATTTGAATCTGTGATAGACTTCGCTCAAGGCGGTTATAACATAATTAAGTTACTGAATCAACATTTCTTACTAATATCTTAATGTCTCATCAGTTATTACTTAGTTCCGCTTTTCACAGCTGGACAGGAACAAATTTCTCTGTGACAAATCGCTCATGAAGCTGGAGCAAAATGTGGCAAATCGCTTATTATATCTGGAGTCTCTTGATATAGTTTTGGATCGAAATAAATTTATGACAATATCGCTAAAGACAATAGTAGTTCTGTGATCCAACTGCGGACCGTAACAAGAATATTTTAGAATACCGAATAAGAACTAACGCG